CTCGTCCTTCTGTCATTTCCCATTTGTCACAATGCAATAACTTAACCTGTGTTACAAATACAACTCGTCACTGTATTTGAGATGATCGTTTCGTTTCTTCGAGTTTCTATCGAGAACGCGGCTCGAAGAAATCGTATCTTCAAGGATGCCAATCAGAATTCAATACTGAATCAATTTTTAATATCTGTTACAGCTCGAAATGCAAGAATTTTGTGCAATATTCCGCGGATCGATAGAAACTTCGTAATTTGTATCGGCCAACAAAACGGACGTCCAGACGATTTTTTCGAGTTGCAGCTTTACGAAATATGAACATAACCCCATACATATATGTATATACCATATACATAGTATATACGTAAGCGCACGCAAACCATAAAGATTATTATAAGTATATATTCATGTAATTATACGTGCACACGTTTGAACGAGCAGACGCACTGTAATCTGTTAAATATTCTTCCTGCGTGCAGATATGGGTCAAATAGCCACGAGCTTCGATGAAATTTCGCTTTAAACATCGTGTAGTGACGGTAAACGTGTAACATTCTCGATTCGATAGTTAGTTTTTACACTTTTCATTTCGATGTTTAACTTGCAGATTTGTCCATGTTCGATTCGATGAAAACGAAACGAGATTTTCCGTGTTCATTGAAAATAAAATGAAATATTGTTTCCATGTTCATTGAGAACATTCTTTCTCATGTTCGTTGAAAGCAAGATGAAATATTGTTTTCCATGTCCATTAAAAAGATTGATGAACGAATGTTACATTCGACCTTCACACTTAACCTCTTCAGAAACGATTTCTCTATACCAAGAAAATTTTGTGTTATCTATTTGAAATCAGTTAAAATAATAAATACATTAAATGAAATTAATATTCCAAATATCCGCAGATATAGCCATTTATTAAATTTAAAAGTGTATGTCAAAGAGGTTAAGTATCAGTGAGAGTTTACGCGGGTCAATCGAATCGATTACCGAATGAGCAATTTAAATTTTGTAACGTTCGTATAATTTGTACTTTCGTTTTATCGCGTTAATTTATGAAACGGTCACATGTTCAGGTCACACGATGCTCCCCGATATCGTGACATACTTCGTTCTGCCTATTATGTCATCGTCCCAGTTTTATTGCAAATGTTCGGTACCTGTTCGTGCAACTCGTAAAAGAAAACTCGATAGCGACTGTTACGTAACGTTCCGTATCCTTTTCAACCGCTTTTCGGTTCGATTCACCGTCCCATCGTAAGTTTGTTAGAATCGGTCAAGCAAAAGTAGTTACGCGTTTAAATGCCGGTTCCCAGAACGGCGATATCGGTCAACAGATAACGCGACAATTGTCATCGAAATTGTGAATCTTCGAGAAACTCGTACTAATAGTGGCAGGTAAGCGACAAACGATTCTTTCGCTTACTTGTTTGCGTTCCGATTCTCCACATATCGATCTATCAGATCTAAAAATTGTTTTGTAGTTTAGAATTCTGTTCTAGAACAGTACGTGCAGTTGCGGACATTGATGGAAATCAAATTTTTATTAAATATTTGAAAATTTATTGATAATTTTCGATTTTTTGAAATGTCTAGTTACGAGTTTGTAGTTCGCAGCTTTATATACCTATATTTCTAAGTTTGACAATTTGAAAGTTCAGAAATTTGGAAATTTTTAGTTTGCATATTTTTAAGTTCTAATTTTCATATTTTTCTGCAGATTTGAAAACTTGGAGGTTTTTTAATTTACAATATTCCAAATTTCCAAATTTTTAAACTAGAATACTTGAAGATTTGGAAATTACTAAATTCAAATTGTTAATCTAAATTCTTGAATTTCATTTGCTTTAAATTTATAAATTTCGAAGCTTCAATATTCTTAAAGTCAAAATTAAAAAATTTGTAAATTTTAAATTCTTTTCTTTCAATATTTCTAAACGTATTAATTTGTAAATTTAACGTGTAAATTTCTAAATTTTCAAATTTTTCTAGTTAACAATTTCCCAATTACAAAATTTCTAAATTTTCGGATTTAAGTATTTATAAATTTATAATTTGTAAAACCTATTTTTTAAATTTGAAAATTGCAAAATTTAAAAATCTGGAAATTAGAATAAAAATCTGTCTCTAAATTTCATGAATTTCCATCTTTCCAAATTTCGAAGTTAACAATTCTCAGTTTCTAAATTTTAAAACTTGAATGATCCTAAATTTCTGAATTTCTGAGTAAACTTTTAAATTTGTAAACTTAAAATCTCAAAAGTAGAAAAAACTGTCTTGCCCATAAATTCGGGCACCTGATTTGTCCATTATTGTCCAAAACTTCTTATCGAATGATAGACTTAATTATAAACGAAAATAGTTAATTTCGCAATAATCACGTAAATTTATCGAAACATACAAGCACGTCATTCGTCCCTTTAGCAATGAAATAACGGAAAAGTTTCTGTTAGTACCTTTATCGCGTCGAAACAAACGAAAAGTCTATAAACCAAGTCTGAAAGCAATTCGAAAGTTTGAAAAGGAAATGCATAGTAATCGTTGCGTGTATGCATGAGACCCGAGTAAAAGTTCACGAATTCCAAGACCCTCGTTTTCTCCCATTCGTTGTTGTCGTTACTTTTGTGATAATATGTTTGGTTGTTGTCACGAGAAACAACTGGGAACACCGAGTGTTTACACGGCGTGTTACGAATTCCGGGGGTTCGAAAGGAACTCGTCGTTTACATCGTCGAACTTTAGAGAAGCACGAAACGTAGTTGCGATTATTTGTGTTTAACACGTGGAACGAAGAAAAAGTTTTTAAAAATATTTTTTACGACACCTCGCGAGGCACACACAAGGCAAGGCAAAGCGTGAAAGAACGAACGGAAGCTCGTCGGTATGGTACAGCTTGTAATGAGGAAACTTGCAATATAACAAGCAATAAATAAGCCACTTTTAATTCTATGTATATTAAACAATTATGTGGATGCTTAACGAGATTTATTGAATTAAACGTGCAAAGCCAAGAAGTTAAGACGAGATACCGATTTTACATATTCTTACTAATCGTATAAACGACTACAATACGTATAGCAACATAATAAATTATACGATTATGTATCGATTGAAAAAAAGAGCAGATAAAAAAATGGTAAATAAATAATTATTAACAAACAAAAAAAAAGAGGCGAAGGAGAAGATGAACGACTGCAGGCGAGTATCGCCGGCAGACGTTAATGTCTAATCTACATAAGTACGTAAAGGTTTCAATTTTACACTACCGATAATAATGATGTAACGGTAAGGCTCTATATAAGATATAATGATGATTTATAATAATTATAACGTTGTACAGAATATTTATGAAAGGCGCGCTGCTGGCGAAAGAGCCGCGCGTTTTCGTGTGGTTTCGCGACGCGCGAACAGAAAGAGATGAGACGTGAAATAATGAAAACACGAATGAACAAATGAATAGAGAATTAAGAGAATGTGTTTGCCTTTCGTGTAATCAATAAATTGTTTAACTTATAGTCGTGATGTCGAAATTGTCGGGAAAATTTTCATGCAACTAGGCTCAGCGAGCGACGCGCGACTCTCTATCCAAAAGCCGCCAGACTATAATGGATGTTTTGTAAGATAAAATGCAAAACGATCGCGGATTATACCGAGATCGCGTTCAGAGAAATGTATAGTCGATTGCGTATTCGAGATTGTTCGACGATTACGAATTAACTCGACGACGCCTTTCTCGACGGAGGTAATTAACAAAAAAGTGAGAAAAGAAACAAAAAAAAATGAGAGAGAGATGAATGAAGGATATGAAAATCGTGGCTCTTTTCTTCCGCGAATATGTTCGAGCGTAGTGACAAATGCGCCGTCGAAGGACGAAATTGCGGTCCTTGAGTCAAAACCCGAGGGCAGGAGATAACAAAATGATTAAAAAAGGAAAAACAAAGAAAAAAAATTAATAAACAAGCGAAACAAAAGATAGAAAGTGAGAGAATTTATCCGCCGCGTGTGTGTGGCGTAAGAAAGGGCCGATAATCTAATTCATTGTGTATGTATACAGACAGAAATAAATATAATATTGCGATTATAAATATTAAACTAATAAAGAATAACAATATTGTACCCCTCTGTACATATAAATATATATTATAATACGATGATTATTACTATATGATTTATTATAAATATATATACATAAATATAAATATATCTCATGAATTCACATTATTATGTTTATTATTGTTTACTTATTATTATTAAAATTATTATCATTGCGATGATAATGAGAATGATGATGATTATTATTATTATTATTATGATAATATTATTAATATTTAAGAAAAGGTTCACAACGTGCCGTGTGTATGTGGGAATAAAATATATAATATAATGGACATTGTTCAATTCAATCTAACGTCTTTGTTGTTTCTTCTTTTCCCATTTTTCTACCACCTTCAAGAACACGTATTACTCCTTTTTATAGCTCAATTATGTTTGCAAAATAAAATATTTATTTTGAATATTTAATGTTTAAGTTCAGAATTCAAAAGTATCAAATAAATTTGTTAGCTAATAATTTGTTATTCTTTTTAGCTATTTTTAGTTTACGTATAAAAAATGGTTTTACTGCCCTACAATTTTTAACCCCTCAATTTTTAAGTTTTCAAATCCCTAAATTTTCAAGTTCTTAAATTTCCAAAATCTTAAATCTGAAAATTTCTTTATTTGTAAATATCCAATTTTTTTAATTTCTACGAGCGCAAAAACGAGCGGTGCTGTATCTTCTTTCACACGCATGGCCCCCCCTAGAAATTCTACTACGTCCTCCATTTTCCATTCTATAAAAAATTGTAATGCACTTATAATCTGTTGTTAAATTGAAATTAGTTATTAATCGATTTTGCGATACAAATTCTTATATTAATAATCATAAACATATAATTAAATTAAGCTTATACCATCTTTCGCGCTGTATTTTATACTTTAAACGAGACTACGATTATCGATAGGTCGATTAAAGAACATGGCGCTATCCAGAATGCGTTCGGTTATCATTCTCTCAAGTGTATCTGTCAAAAGTGATATGAATTTTTATTTACGCGTTGCATGACAGTTTAGTTAGTAATCTTGTCTATTATTTGAAACGAAATGGGTATTTTTTTTGCGAAGAAAAAACCACCTAGTCGTGTTACGGAACAAGATAAGGCTATCTTGGTACGTTATTGCACGCATTTTCTAACCTCAAAAGCTCTTATTCTAACTACTAGTTGAAGTATTATTCATTTGTTTTTGATAGCAATTAAAACAAACTAGGGATAAGATCAAGCAATATCAACGAAGAATTGAACAAAGTCTTGAGAAAGAACGGTTACTTGCAAAGAAACTTGTACAGAATGGGCAGAAAGAGTGAGTATGCACTCTTTATATTAAAATTTTTATGCAAGTGTTTGCAGTACGTTGAATAATTGTAATGAATTTGTGTGTAGCCGTGCCTTGCTTCTTTTACGGAAGAAAAAGTTTCAAGAACAGGTATTATCAAAGACTGATGGACAACTGGAAAATTTGGAGCGTATGGTACACGACATAGAATTTGCACAAGTAGAGTTGAAAGTCATTGATGGTTTGAAAGTAGGCAATGCAGCATTGAAGAAGCTTCAGGACTTGTTATCTATTGATGAAATCGAGAAAGTTATGGATGAGACTAGAGAAGGCATTGAAAAACAAAAAGAAATTGACGAAGTCTTAGCTGGAGAACTCACAGAGGAAGACGAAGGAGAAGTCGAAGCAGAGCTGGATGCTCTTCTAGCAGCGGAAGTTAAAGAAAAGGCACCTGAAATACCACAGGATGTAATTTTACCAGATGTACCAGAAGAATTGCCAGAAAAGAAGAAAGGTATATTATTAGGATATCAAGAGATCAAAAGATGAAAAAAAGTAAATTGTATGCAAAATTTTAATCGAACAATTATTTGTGTTTTCAGAACGTACAAAAGAGAAGACACAAGAAGCTGTTGCTCTTGAAGCATAAAGTATCATTAGTGAAATTTTTACTTTATCTACACTTTGCACAGGAATCTGTGTACATATGTACAGTATATTGTATGTAAGGCTCAGTGTGAATAATTCTTACGTTGAGATAATTAGGGTATAACTGAAAGAATGGAAATTAATATTGAAGACTGTTTTCCATTATAAGGCGCGTGTACATGATTTCTGTATTGTGAGTATAGGTTTTGAACCAACGGATGTGCAATTGAGGCAATTGTACATTGCTTTTTCATATATTACATGTATCATGCCTTGTATGTACAAATACCTTTTTATCTTATTATTGGCCTCTCTTTCATATAGTTACAAAAAAGGTGCAAAAGATTGAAATGTTGTAATAAATATGATTTTATTTAAAATGTGCTGCTTAACTTATTAAATTCCTAGTTAAATTAATCATTTAGGATTAAGGCAAAGTTACTAAGTACAATGAAATATGAAAATCTTATTTTTTATAAATAAAAGTTTAAGAATAATTTGTACAATAATATTTGGTATTGAATTACAGATTCTCGTATATAATTTAATTACGGATTCACTTCATTTAATTATACTTAATTTACTTCTTATATTGTCGATACAAAATATTGAAATGTTTTGTGTATTGCAAATTTGCATGACCTCTTTCTTTTTTTCCTCAATCGAACGATACAGACTGTAGATAAATAAAAGAATACATTTTATGAACCAATGTAAATTATTAAGAACCAGATAAGATAAACTGTCTGTTAAAGTGTACTCGGTTAAATTTTACTGTCTAGAAAATATGATATCTATTTTATGAACACGAAAAATTACGAAGTAATTAATACCGTATTACGAAACAAAAGAAAATAGCGTGATCTTCCTCGATTGTTCAGGTTACATCGTGACCCAAATCTACGAAATTATTTAATGATATTTGCATTGGCGTTAAATGTATCAGTTTTCAGATAAAGCAATTTTGTACACTAGAAAATAAAACATATAAAAGTGTAACGAAAAATTGAAAGAATCAAATTAATACAGAATATAAAACTAAATTTAAATTATTGTTGTCTCAGTTAATTTCATGATTTTATAATTGCTGAATTAGGTCTTAAATTTTAAATACTCCAGTCGTGCAGACAATAAAATAAAATTTAATCAAATAAGGCGCAGATGCTTACTTCATATTGTGGAAAGAACATCATATGATAATTCTAGCAATTGTGCTTAATCTACATAATTAGACAAACTTCGTAGTTGTCGTAGACAGTTCGTATTAAATGTCACGCAGGTTGTAACAATGTACTTGTGTTTGTAGTTAATAAAAATTTCATATCTCATTAGTATCTCTTATTTTGCGGTCAAGAACATAGAGGAAGTAACATGGACTGTCACGTAATGTTTAAAAAATTTCAAAAAATTGTCCATTTTCGTTAGATTTTTATTACGTAATTTAAAATTTTGTTTGCTACTAAATTAGAAATCCATTCAGTATTGACGATTTCTTTTTGATACAAAATGACATAAATTATTATTACCTTTAACCGTATAGTTAAACTGCCATATTATTTCCTGAGTTTCGCCATAGACTTTGTTTCACCTGTTTTAATGCGTATAAAATAAGAATGTATGACCTCATACGAGAAACCGAAGGCGTTCACACTTATGATGCACGGTTGTTGATGATTGTTATTAGTACCGCAGCAAAAAATGTACATATGTTTCTATTCAGTAGCTATAATGTAACAGTTTATCTTTTTTATTCTCAAAAAAACACGGAAGTTATTGTGCAATCAGTATTCAATGTGATCTTAGCGTTCATGGATACTTCTTTTATTCTGAAAGTTGCTATCAATTTCGCTTGTTTCTGTATATAGCGGTAATAAATATAAGACTATTTGTAAGTGCAGTATTTGCACAAAATTTGTATACAACACACTTTCGACGAGAAAAAATATTTGTACAGACTGTAAAGATTCATAATAAATATTATCATTCATAATTTAATCTTTGTTTATATTATAAATAACAGTTGAAAATAATTCAGAAATTTTTGAAATAAATATTAATAATTTAATTTAATTGTGATAATAAGTAAAAAACGTCTTATTGAACGTACAATGTATAATTGTAGGCTTGAATGGAAACTCATCCTCCATGATTCATGTTGAACCATCTTCCATGAGTTAGAAGAAGACGTTAATCAATAATATCGATAAACACTTAGTATCGTCTAACTGTTCCTTTTAATGGCTACCTTAAGTTTATTTACCATTTTCTTTACATAATAATGTAATTTCATTGTTAATTAAATAACCCTTAAATTCACAGTTTAGCGAATTACATCCTACAGTATGCAAAACTCGGTTTGTAGTTTTTCTCTGATTAAGCAGTTAACAAGTTTCGCAAATACAATCATACATATGATCTTCTATTTGTCTAATTTGTCGTACAAAATTAAGATCGTATATAACACTCCTTTGACACCTGCTGAACACACAAGATATTTTGTAAAGAAGAGTAAAGTCAAGAAAATGAGTTTTATTGAGGAGCAAATAATGGTTGTTTTTAGATTCAGTCACTTGTAATCTTCAAGGTTTCTTTTTGTTATTTGCAGAAGATTTCATTGGTCTGTTATCAATTCAATTTCTTTTTATATTGTCTATTATTTTTATTACTGATTACCTAATTTTTAAATATGTTTTTGAATTGAAGTGTAAATCACATGAAGATATTATGAAATATGTATTTGAGTTACGGTGAATGGCGTGTCAAATTATTGAGCATGCGTCGCGTCGGTAAAAATTATAAGTTGAACGTCGAAGTTAAGTGCGATCATCGATAAAACCATTGATAAAAGCCGACAATATCGAAATGTTATTGACATTTTATCATATTGATATCATCGTCAAGATACTAATGAGTATAAAGGGAAGAGAGGCGGAAGAGATTGAAGTGGTAATATTCCCATATCCTTGAAAGAATTTTCATATCACAAAATATCTGAATTTCCAAATTTCCGTAGTTCCTAAACTATTTAGTTTACAAACTTTCAAAATTATAAATTTGTAAATTCCCCGATTTCTAAATTACTTAATCTACAAACTTACCAATTTGTAAATTCTTAAATCTGCAAATTTTCACATCTCTGAATTCGTTAATTGTTAAGTTATTTAATCTACAAATTTTCTAATTTCTAAATGCGTATTCTTCATTACCTAATCTATAAACTTTCCAATTTCTAAATTCGTGAATTCCTAAATTACCTAATCTACAAATTTTCAAATTTCTAAATATATGATTTTCGACATTTCCAAATTTTTAAATATTTAAATTCTAAAATCCCTTAACCTGGTATGACTAAATCCGGAAGTCTCGAAATTCTAAAACAACCGAAGCTGAAAAATTTGTATCTTTATTTAAAAATGATACTCACTTTAGAAATCCCTAAACTTCGAAATTTGAAGATTAATGAACTCCTATGTTTCCGAATTATCAATCTCCCAAATTTTGAAATAATCATGTTTCTAATTACATAAATCTTCAAATTCTCAAATTTTTCAAATCTTTAAACTTATAAATTTGTAAACTGGAAAATTTACTATGCAAAAATTCACTGGTGTGGCTTATTTTTTATTGAAATTTGTTTTATCAAGAATTACATAACGATTAAGTAACGATAGAAACTACAAGTCATAAGTAACGATCTATAGTTAGAATTTGACAAAGAATTACAAAATGTGGAATATAATAATTGCAGATCGAAGTCAATAAAATATAAATTGATTGAAAAATACAATATGTATATACACATATACATTATATTCATATTTGTATAATATACAAATGATAAGTTAATTGCATTCTGCTACAATAAAACTCAATAACTTTTTTTTATTGATTTGATCGACATATCCTTAAAAATCAATACTGCATCGATAATTGACAGTCGTGCCTCTAATGAAAATCCCAGATTATCGATTAAAGAATTCTTTGTTATTTTACATTCGAGTAAAGTTGTTTCTGCATTTCAGACCGAATTTCCACCGAAATCACCTACGCAGACTACAAATCTCTTTGCTTACATATTATTCCAGCGACCTCCTTTGTGCACAACAATAGTTGCATCTCTTGCCTTGTCGGAACGGCTTTGTTGCAAGTTGTGGATCTCGTTTGTACGAAGGAGAACGTCGTCTGAATAAGCGATGTTCGATGTATTTAACAGCGTCTCTCGAATCCAGATAAGACCAGCTTACGGCGCCAAGAACAACGTTCAAATTGTTTTAACAAATCACATGGCGCCTGCTAGAATCGTTTTAGAGGTTCTAACGATTAACACGATTTCATTGGTCAGGGACGATCAACCTGACAGCTTAATAATCATCTTGATCGAATAATAATGATCTATAATTGAGTATTATCGATACATTGTGAATTCGTTGCCTTATATTGATCCTCGAACGGTTTCAGGAAGAGCGTTATCGGAAACCACACTTCGACCCTTTTATCTTATTATGTCTTCCGATATGATTTAGATGTATTCATTGTATCAGTTTTATAAACAGTTCTACGCAAAAGTGAGATAATCTCTATAAGACCTAATTCTTTTATTGTTAAACATAAAACCAACTGCTTGATTTTGTATGGATGTGCGGCTTTTGCACGTGTAGATGTTTAAATTTAATACAACGTAGCAGAGTAGCGGAAATAAAAGACTGTGTATTTTCTTTAGGTGTCGATCAGAAAACAGTTTATATATCACACATCGACCGTGCGATAACAATGTGTTAATAAATTTTATCAATGAGACACCACACCTTTTCGTACATTTTTTAATCGCGTTATTTGATCGTAAGTCGAAGATTAGATATGTTCGGACATGTTAGTCGAGGGGATTCATTACGCAAGAACATCAAATTTTCTGAGGAATTTAACGCATTCGACGTCTGAGAAATACAGGGAAATTCGCGGAGGCCAGATGCGCTGGCATTGATTTTCTCGTACACACGGTACGCGATCCTGACGGTAAATTACAGGAAGTATCGCAGCCTCCTGATATTTAAAATGACGCCCGTACGGATTCCGTATTTAAAACCGGATGACCTTCGTGAACGAGAGAGACGAAGAGAAAGGAAGAACGGCCGAGGAACGGGATCCGTTGACTAACCTCCGCTTCGAGAAGCCTTCGCTTCTTTTCCTTTTCTTCTTGAGCCAATGTATCGCCCACTTTATATCCTCTTAACTCCGTTCAGGCGAACGACACACCGTGTGCGTCCTACGTCATCAAACAGAAATAACGGTTTCGATTTTGATTGATACCGTTTTTTAGTTGATTGCCATGAAATTTAATTTATAAACAATGCGGGATTTTGATAGAAAGACGTGAATAATTTTA